GTGAATTACAGCCCTCGACTTCTGTCCTAAGAGTCGCTGGATCGTGTTCGGAGAGCCCCTTATTGGCCCATCTGTTGAATGGGTGTCTAACCTTACAGCTGGGGAAATGAAGGCGATCGAGTACAGTGCCTGGTCATATATCCTTCAGTGTTTGTGTGGTGTTAGCATTGACCCTGTAAGACCCACATTCACTTCCCATATATCGTAGTCAATGTAATATTCTTCCAATAAATATTCATCACAAACCCTCGTCCGATAGTTTGAATAACAATGACTTGAACGAAACAGAGAAAAACTAATTCTGTAACATTAATTTTATCTCAAAGTTCTAAGCACAAATTCCTTTCAATATGTAGATCAGTATAAACATTGATGGGATTACAGTCGACCCTTGGCTTACTCCTCCACATTTTGCTATGAATATTTATCTGAGTATCGATGTCCAATGTTTTAACGAGGACAGATCTGACTAGATCCCTCCTCCTCCTGCTGCTGCTGCTCCTTCGTCGCCTCTTATCGGCCTCTCCTTAAACCTTTATTGCCTCGTATGTTATGATCCCGACCTCAACGCAGTGATTCTCTCTCTCTCTCTCTCTCTCTCTCTCTCTCTCTCTCTCTCTCTCTCACAGTAAAACAGACACAACGCAAAACAAAAGTTCACCTGAATAACTTATTTAAATGCTACAGCCAGGCATATTTTTTTCCAGGATTGTCAGAGATGATGACTGTGTGTAAGGTCATTCTTTATTATTCATCCTAGAGGAAGAAAATACTAAACTTGCCCCAGGGATGAAAAAGATCGTGTTTATTTGGCGTTTGTTTGGTTGTTCTATTGCCCGCCTTTCATGATCTGACGGAGGGAGGTTGATTCAGGTGAACAGTTCTTTGGGTTTTGTTATTGTTTTATAGGTTGTAAATAGTTGATGTTAATTGCTGGTTCGTATCTAGTGCCTTGTGTTTGTAGAACCGAGATACTGACAGTTCCACGATGCAGAAAATTCCAGAGATGTTTATTTCAACGAGGTATTGTAAGGACCAGTTCTTGACCCCGACCTACGTCTAGGGTACGTTTTAATTCCTCTTCAGAAAAAATAAATAATTAAAATATCTTTTTTCGGGGGGGTGGGGGCAATTCCACCCCTGTGTCAATGTCAAGTTGGTCTCAATGTTGTACACTAGTTTGGGACAGTTGGCAGTGCAGTGAGTTTTCCGTTCTGCCACCCGTTCTCTAGACTCCCTGGAGGAAGCTTCAATCCACATGCCAAGGTCGACAAAGATCAGGTCGTAGCCGTGAGAGAAAGAAGTCTCCATACAGACGGACACACTGTTTTAGTATACAGTAGAGTGAAATTTAATGGATATACTAATGATTTTTCTGTATTATAATTCCATTTTAGAGAACCTCAGCCAACCAAAACTATTATATCAACCAAGTCAGATCAATTCATCCTCCTTCAAATATCTTCAGTGTTTGACAAGAGGACATCGCCTCACTGAGTATATTTAACAACGTCATTTATCTGATCTCTTACTCCGTCTTTTAGGTATTAGAAAAATAACGATGTGCGACACTCATACACTCAGACATAAGTTATATCCCAAATATTGTCTAAGTATGTCTTTGTCAACATAATGATACTTGTTTGTGCTACTGTTGGATGCTTGCTTAAATATATATGTTTGTTTTTATTATATTGAAGTATATCAATTAAATGTTGTGTATTTGAAATATTTGGTTGCGTGTCTGAGTAAATAATTTCAAATATTTATTCTCAATATATCGAAATATACTGTATATGTTTGTGGTATATTGAGTAGTAGTAGTAGTGAACCAAAACAAAAGCACAACAAATAATACACAACATCTTACATCAAAACATTTTATCTATTTACAAAACATCGCCTTTGATAGATAAATGAACATTGAAGAAATTTGAATGATGGCCGTGAATGAGAGTTGTGAATGAAAGCTATGAAAGAAAGTCATTAATTAGAGCTGTGGATTAAACCTGCGAATTAATTATACGAATGAAAGATGTGAATGAATGCCAGGAATGAATAATGTGAATTCAAGTTGTAAAAGACCGTGTGTGAATAATATGAATGAAAATTGATTGCCAAAGTACGGTACACGATTCTAGACATTAATTCTACGCTAAAAATTACAGCAAGCATTTTATTGCATTGTAGTCAACGGTAAACGCTAACTACATGCTTATAGTGTTACTGTTAACTCTAAACGCTAAAAGATACCCGTTTTTTTTTTTGCATTAATATCAACGCTATACGGTAATTAAACGCGTTAAAACAATATACTTAGCCGGTACTTTTTCAACGCAAGAATTAACGCCGCAGTCAACAAAAAATTTCGCCTGGGGGAAATTTTTGAATGCGGCTTATTGCGTTGGCGTGTTCAGTACTATATAAGGCAGCGCGTTGACAGCTGTGGGCCTCTAAATCTACCCCGGGAATTCAGAGGGTGAAATGAGTTCCTGAGTTCCCAAATGTTCCTGACAGAGAGAGAGAGAGAGAGAGAGAGAGAGGTGGGGGAGAAAGAAAGAGCTCTAGATAGATAATAAGGAAATGAAAGATAGAAAAAGACATGAGAAAATAAAATAGAAGGAAAGAGAGTGAGAGAATGTCGACTACTTATACATAGATAAAGATAAATGAGAATAAATGAAAGCGAGAGAGCGCGCTACTTACTGACCACCACACACACACACACACACACACCTTATCAACACGTAATCTAATTCTTGCCTTACTCTTTGTTGCATTAAATTCCTTATCCTGGGTAATTACTCGAACGTGGGTTGTAACGAGGCGGGAAAAACACGTTGATCCGTGGCGTTACAAACAGGAGGAAACTGTATTGATCTTATTTTGTAATGTGGTGTTACAGCTTCCGTCACCTTCTCACCACATACATACATACATACATACATACATACACACACAGGGAGAGAAAGGTTTCATTCATTAACACAACAGTACGATGTGATTCATAGCTAATCGTAAAAGTTGTTTATATAATTAATAAGGATGGTGATGAAGAAACTGGTGTGTGTGTGTGTGTGTGTGTGTGTGTGTGTGTGTGTGTGTGTGTGTTTTTCGTATTTTCCTGTCATCTCTTCTCCATTTTCCTCACATTTTCCTGACGCCTTTGTCTCACTAGGAGGTAACAGATGAGAGAGACAGGTGATGGTAAGTGGCCACGCCTGTCTAGTGTTCACCGTCTCTTTTAGTACGCCTCTTGATGACGGTGGTGCTGAAGAATATACGGGTGACGTAACTTAGGCCTCATGAGAGTATTATTATTATTGGTAGTAGTAGTAGTGGTAATGGTGATAGTGGTGTTTATTATTATTAGTAGTAGTAGTAGTAAGTAGTAGTAGTAGCACTGGTGTTTATTATCATTATTAGAAGTAATAAGTAGTAGTGTTTTACTATCATCATCATCATTTATCAATATCTTTTACCTTACTACACCAACTGTGAGGCTCTTTAATATATTATCTTAATCTGTTACCTTCTTATCGATGTTCGTCAAAAGTGAGGGTCGGAGTACAGTGTTTAAAAATGACTGTCTATCTGTCAGTTTGTCTCTCTGCTTATCTGTCTGTCTACCTGTTACTTTCTGTCTAGCTTTTTTTTTGTTGACGAGGATCACACACAGGACATAGTGATAATACTATAACCTGTATGTGTGTGTGTGTGTGTATGTGTGTGTGTGTGTGTGTGTGTGTGTGTGTGTGTCTGATCTGGGAAACATTTCTTGTATTACCCCTTAACAGGACCCCGCCTCCCACCCCTCTCAAAAAGAAAACCCTACCACCTCTTCAAATTACCAAAATTTTCTTAATATTAATAATAATCCACCACGAACGACCATATTATAATTATACCATACTGTTAATATAGTTATAATGAGATGTTAACTGGAGGTACATTATAGTAAAAAGGTCATTATTTATTTTTAACACACACGAAGGTAATTCTTGATGATGTCATAAATTAAATCACTTTTTGTGTTTTGTTAACTTAATCTCCTTGTTGTTTTTCCCCCATGATGAAGCCTCAGTCTAAAAGAGTACGGTAATGATGTCAGCTAAATGATTACTTGTCATGTGAGATAAATGCTGGTGATTATTTCCTCTTAACAGCGGCGACGTGATGACCTTAACCTGCTTACTGATTGTTTTTATTGTTTATGTCCTATCCTCATTTTGAAACTTTTATACCTGTACCTGTACTTGTGACTACCTGTATTTGTGAGTATACCTGTACTTGTGACTGCACTCGTGACTGTACCTGCACTTGTGACTGTACCTGAAGACTGCTACATGTTCTGGATTGATATATATATATAAAATGAACCAACGATATAAGTAAATATTCTCGTAGATGAGGCACAGTGTCAAGAATGTTTAGTATTAACATTGAACGTCCCTAGTGAGTGTTATAGTCTGACTCCCAACTGACTCGCATAAACTTGTAAATAGGGAATTGTTGGAACGAAAAACACAAATAACCCACACCAGTAGCCCATCCTAATAATAGTAACCCGCATGAATAACCCACATGAGCAACCCGCACCAGTAACCTATATTTTTCCTATAATCTTTGTCATTACTTTCATTATTTTTACTATTTTTTACATTAATTTTTTTCGTTTATTACTTTTTATCAGACTCGAACGTCACAAGAAACTAAACTCTTAATGCACACCAGTAAATAAGTTTATTGTCTCGACCTCTTGTTCAGTTTCCACGTAGTTTAACATTGAATTGCTTAAATATTCACCTGGACTGAGAACCAACCTTCTCTAGGCACAGATTTGTTTCCCTCCATTATTTAAATTGAGTGACATGAGGCCCAAGCGTAAACTATATTCTTGCTGGGTTGTGTGTAAGGATAAGGACACACTGTTGCCGGTGTGGGGGAGATGCTCAAGCCAATCTCGTAAGGGTAAAGTTAAGTGTACAGCAAACTCTTACCTTAGTAACAGGCGAAGTTTGGGCACAGCACAAGAGGCCGGCAGCCACCAGGAGCGCTAGGAACATGCTGTCGGGTCGACCTGCTTCAGTAATATTCGACTTTTATGTTTAGTTCTCGACCTGTAATTGGTCGAGTTGTTACCTGGCTGCCCACTGACTCACGAGCCCGAGCTACCTGCTGATCGAGCGACACGCGACCACGATGTAGAGCCTGTTGCTGGCCAGCCTGCTCTTTATACTCGTGTACCCTCCAGACCCCGCCCATCCGCGCGTGACGTCACATCTCTTTACATCTCGGGATTGGCTGGCATCACTCACTTCACAGAAACTCTGCTGTGACCTGAGAAATGGATCCGTCGCAATCACCCTCACTGTGGTATTCATCCTCGTGCTTGTGATGCCCAGCACTATTCTCAGGCCAGCGTGGGAGTGGGAATGTGGAAGAATGAGGGCGCTGGTAATAGCCGCCCACGCGTCTGCTTGTGATGCAAGAGCCGCCCACCGTAGGCGTTGCCCCGCCCACACTTTTATCCTCGCGGGAAAATAATATCAGAGTCCTCCCGCTACAGCTCTGCTCGACTGACCAAGGATATTACACCTCGTCCTCCGGCTCCCCATAAGTCACCTTCAAGAAACTCACTTGTGTAGCGTACAATATTGTTTAATTGGTATTAAACTTTATCTCTTATGGTCACCTTCACTTACACTCATTGATCAAGTTATTGATGTTTTACCTCCATCATCATAATTGTCATTATTATTATTATTATTATTATTGATGGTGGTAGTAGTAATAGTAATTAATAGCTATAGAAATAGTAGTAGTAATACGTTTCATTACTGCTGTACACACCAGAAGTTTTACATCTCACACTTGTTGGTTGAGTCACATACTAGACCCCTGTAGATGACATGTTACCCCCTCACCATCTTCCCCCCCTCACTCTCTTCTCCCCCTCCTCATCCCCAACTTCCCCCTTTCCTTTCCGGATTATAAAGAACGCAGAACGCAAAGAGACGAGAGCCTGATAAAACACACACACACACACACACACTAAACCACATCAAGTCCCTAGTCATAACACTATCTGTGAGGGAGTTACTACACCACGTGTCTGTTGTTCAACATCTTAGCTCGCATGACCTACGTGACCTCCACTGTAAACATTAATCTGTATGTTCACTGTATGTTCCTTTACCTTTCGCTAGTGAAGTCATTTGTTAAACCACCAATGTATGTAATAAGTCATTTATGTCCAATGTATATTTTCAACCTTCGGGCTCCAGAACTTTTAAAATAAACCGTTAATTATTATTATTATTATTTTTAGTATTATTATTATTACGCGCGCGCACGCATAAAAATGGACGTCCTCCACCCACACACACCCACACACACACACACACACCCCCACACACCTACACACACACACACCCACACACACACACACACACACACAAATACAGTTCCTTCAGGGTATGTTTTCGTTCAGTACAACCTTTGGGTGTATTAAACATGTCACAAAATATATGAAATATTTGTTTTATAAATTGTTTATCTTTAATACGATGTTATTGCGTTCGCTCGTGTGTGTGTAGGGGGGGGGGGGTCAGGTCGACAGTATTGTATCTCCAACATGGGATAATTACAACGAAACTTTACTCTAAAAGTTAACATTAATGAGAGGAGGCAGCTGATTGGTCAGGTTGGCTACAATAGTCATCAGTCTATTTTTTCTTCTTCACATTGCCGTCATTACCAGATTGGCCGATCCTGAACCTTACTAACACAAGTGATGGGCCAGCAGCTCACTGATTAGAGATCCTGTTTAAGATTCGTGATTATATATATAAGATTATGATAATATGTGTAGTTAAAGAGAATAGGTAGTGCAAATCATCTGATGCGATTGTTGGGGTTTGTTCAGTATTGTGGTTACTCATTAGTCCTGGGGTCACTCACGAGTTTTATTGTCACTCATTAGTCCTCTGGTCACTCACGATCCCTGTGGTTTACTCAACAGATCTATGTTCTCTAAAATGTCGTATGGTCACTCAGTAGTCGTGTGGTTTTTCATCGTTATTGACATCACAGAACAGTCCTGCAGTCACTCAATAGTCCTGCCGTCACTCACTAGTCTTATGGTCACTTTGAAACACCATTCATGCCGTGACTCACTATTCTCATGGTCACTCATCAATTTTTGGCCGTTCACCAGTTCCCTTGTTACTCATTAATCTCGTGGTCACTCACTAGTCCTGTGGTCACTTTTGTCACCTTTTTGTTATCACTTAACAGCTTTTTGGTCTACGGTTACTCACTAGTCTAATAGTCACTCAAAAATGACTTTATTACTCTCCAGTTTCACGGTCACTCATCAGACCCACAGTCCATGTATCACTTGAGTAAGGATTACTTCAGGACTTACCTAACACTTGAGTGAGGGTGAGTCCACGGACCCTTTTATCACTCGAGAGAGGGTGACCTTTCAGTGGCACTCCTCGCTCAGGCTTCAATATCCTCCCTCCTCCTAGTTCTGAGTGTTTCATTCTGTATATAGCTGTCAGCCTTCCACTATTTTTTCAGTATACAAATTAAAAACGATTGTATGAAATTAAATAGAATTGTTAGGTGTAAGGTGTGTGTGTGTGTGTGTGTGTGTGTGTGTGTGTTATTGGCGGCCATGTTCTCTAGTGTACACCGGTGAACGTCAGAGGGCCATCTGGCGAGTTGTGGCCAAATTTTGTAAAAAGTCTTTATATTTTGTTGCCACTTAAACATTAACTACCTTAGCACTAAACGAGTGGATGAGGTTAAGGTAAGCGTTAAGGTTGTTAATCTTTAGGTTTAATAAGCTGAGGTGGATATTTTCAAGTGACCCCTGAATAAGTTAAGAAAAAATATTTAATTTTTATTTGGAATAGTAGGGGGTAATTGTAATTGTTATGAAACTATCTTGATATGTAATTATAATTGAAACTTGGATAAAGTAGTTGATATTGGTAATTGTAATTGATTCTAAAATATAATTGAACCAACTTTATTATGGAATGACAACTGTACAGGTATGTTGAGCCGCGGGTCTTCACAACATAGTGGAACATACAGTATATATTTGACACACATTTAGTTATTTGTTTCCCCCCAAAGATATTTTACTTTAAATTAAGAGCGGACGAAGTTTACAGCACTCTCTCGTACGTTAATATTGGAATACCCTTAACATTAGCGCTTAAATCTATACTCTCCACAAACTCTCAAATTATTACTACTGTTATTTTGTAGTTATTTTGTAGTCATATCTTCCATTTTACCAAGTCCTTCAAAAAACTGAATCCGGACTCAGTGAATAGAGTCTAATAATCTTCCACAAGGTACGGCTCCCAGCACCACTTTTCAAGACGATTCTCCCGACGGTGTAGAAAAGTCCTTAAGATGACAGCTGGTGGACAGACAGACACGCAGACTCCCCAACACCTTGACTCACCTGAACTGGAATTCAATTATTTTTGTCTACCTGGTCATCATTTATTACACCTGTCCATCATTAAGTGTTTATTATCCTCAGAGGTGCGAGTTTACCTACGTATTGCAGGTGTTTTATGTATTGTTATTACCTGTTCATATTCTAAGTCTCGTGCACCGTATCCTTAAACAATACAAACTGGTTCCTGTTCAAATTTATACATCACTCACAGCACCATAACCAAGCTTAAACAACTTTCACAGCCTTATAACCAAATTTAAAGCTCGTACTCAATACCATTATTAAACTTTAAGCTGACTCAGGAGTTAGCGGAGTATAGTGGCCAGGGTAGTACGGGTTAGACCACACTCTACAGATTACTCCAGCAGTGTCCCACCTTGCCTGTAGAGGGTAAAGCCATCTCGTTACCCTGGAGTGTTTACTGTGATACTGGCGCCACTCTTGCTGGACAGTGGGAGTGTGCAGTGGCCGAGTGTATATAATGCTTACTACCTGTCTTAAAGGGTCGCTGGCCTGCTCCCATGGCATTCTCAGTATCACTTCGTTGTGAATGGTTCCCTAGCTTTACACATGAGGTGGTAGTTGTAGTCGAGTTCAGTGCATTGTCGACCCGCTTCGTTTGGTTGCCAATTACTGTTGATTACGTTAGCTAATTGGAACACCTCTCATGTCTTAAGGTAAATGAGAAATGTCCCGTATGCATCTCCATGAACCTGGAATCTTCATTATTCTGATGTTATCGTTTTCCCTCAGATTGAAAGAAGAAAACCCCATCTATTTGTGTTAATTATCTCAAGACACAAATATCATGCTAAAAATAAGTCTTAATTCCATATTTATCATGACCGTGAGCAGATAGTTCCCTTGTCATAGGGTAGAGGTGAAAGTTACTGGGTCACATGAAGATTAGCTCCCCCAATCTTATATCACCTAATGATTAAACACCCTAACCTAACCCCAAGGAACGCTAGGATATATAGTCATTAGGTTAACAAAGGTAGGTAGGGCCTAATTTCCACGTGGCCACCATTTACCACATTAACTCAACAACAACACTGAGGCTGGTGAATATGACTTGGTCCCTCCGCCACCAGCAAGCCGCCCACACACCCTCACTTCCCAGTAACTGCCGGGTAAATATAGACCCGGCCCGAATGGAAGCTTTGGGGGCGATGTGTACTTTGAGGAAAATCACTTGGAATAACGAGTAACTCAACCGTGTGATCTGAAATAGAAATTCGCTTCTAGGGGAAAAAACAGAAATTCAGGGAAATAATAAAGGGAGAAAAAATGCATCGATAGGGTGAATAAATAGTTGTTGGTGATGGTGGTAGTAGTGCCAGGTACGTATTCTGGTATCAGGTGTTCGTAGAGGTCAAAAGTTAATGACCGACAATTAGAACTTGTATTATGATTTTTCCTTGTAATTATTAAAATCCTTATGGGGACGACCCTGGACCTCTGCGTGTGAACAGGGATCGCTACAATTGCGCCACAAAAACAACAAAAGCAATCCTAGGCTTTGTTATATTCCACACAAAGTCTGTTCATCGTGCTTGTTAAACGCCGTGAACCTCCATTGGGGATTGCCCGTGCCAACTTTGTGGCCAGAGTAGCATTTTACCGAATCCAGCTAAGAAATACGAAGACACACACACATATATATATATATATATATATATATATATATATATATATATATATATATAT